ATGATTCCTTAACAACATTCATCGCACTCGGGTATTACTTTAAGTAGGCACAAAGCCTAACTAACATCTATAGCTTTCTCATATCCTATGAGTTTTTAGTTCACGGATTTGAAGAAAGGACTGGATATGTTCTCCTTCGCCTGGTCTCTCATTTTGTGGAAGAAATGAGAGAACTCAAATAATCATTTTCATAAGTTTTGCTTTCCTCTCCTCCATAACTAGGAAAGGTAATACCATTGTAAGGCTAAGAAGTCGTCCTAAGGTAGTGTCCCATTTAAGAATCCCTGGTGGGTGACAGTCCCTGGGGCTCTGAGGAATAAGCTAATGATTCTCCTGATATTGTTCCTATGGGCCATGAGTAATTCCCAGTGACCAACAAATGCAGCACCAGAACGAAGACAGCAGCAAGGTGGTATGCAAGGCTGCCTATGGCTGCTGCCAGATATTTTCTCTTATAACAGGAAGCGCTATCCATGGAAAGCCATAAAATTTGTAGAATAAAGATTGCATTAGCTAATGGTAAATTATTGAGAATGAATTATTCACGATTTTCAAAAGAAAAGAGTGAAAGCATAAAAAAATAAAATATAGATTGAAAAATTAATGAAAACTAATATGACATCTCCTTGCTGCAGTTATTATAGAAATGCACTAAAAAAATTTGGAGGCACTCTGCTCCCGTAGCATTGTATATGTTTCCTTTATTATTGTACTTTTCACACTTACTTGAAATTTGTTTTATTTGTCCATCCCTTTCTACTGACCATAAAGCCCTTGAGGGCAAGGGGAGTATATGTTATCACTGTATTTGTGCCTGTATCAGTTGCATCAGCACTACTAACTGCTTAACAGATATTTGATGAATCAAATCGCCATTGAATGAGTAATATGAATGAATAAATGAATGACATGAGTCTTCATCTATACAGTATGGAACTAATACCTTTTTAAAATTTGCATCAAGTAAGATACTTTAGTAAGATTATATCAGCTTTTGAAAGCAACTCAACATGACTGGAATCCCAGAATTTTAATGCAAATAAATTTATCTAAATAAATCTTTTATAACTGTTTATAACTAAGAGCTGTGGTGGATAAAGACAAATAAAACTAGTTCCTGTATTCAAGAAACCACAATCTAGGTTTTATTGGCATGATATGGTAAATGCAATGAGAAAGGTATAAATTGTGTACATTAGTTGCTAGGGCTGCCATAGCAAAGTATACAGACTGGGTGGCTTTAAACGACAGAATTTGTTTTCTTATGGTTCTGGAGGCTGGAAGTCAAGATCAGGTGCCGGCAGGGTTAGTTTCTCTTGAGCCTCTCTCCTTGGCTCCCTGATGGCACCCTCTTGCTGCTCTACACAAGGCCATTCTTTGCCACTGACACCTGGTGACTCTCCCTCTTCTTTAAGGCACCAGTCATATTAATTAAGGCTCATCCTAATGCCTCATTTTAATTTAATTACTTTTTTAAAGACCTTATTTCTAAATACTGCTATATTCTGAAGTACTGGAATTGGACTTCAACTATGAATTTGTGGGGAAGGGAACACAGTTTTGCCATAACAAGGTGCAATACAGCTTGGCCTAGGCTCTAGGGTCAGATAGACCTGGGTTTAATCCCCATTCCTTCAATTATTGTCTGCATCACTTGAATAAGTTCCTTGGGCATCAGATTCCTCATTTGTAAAACTGGGAGTAATAGAACCTACCCAAGAATCACATTAGATAATGCAAATAAAGTTCTTCACCAAAGGCAAATAGTAAGTACTCACTACATGGTAGCTGTTTTTATTATTATTCCAATAGGGAAGAAAAAATCCAATAGGGAAGATTAAGAACATTTTACAAGACTGGGTATAGTGGCTCACACCTGTAACCCCAGCACTTTGGGATGCCAAGGTGAGAGATTATTGAGGCCAGGAATTTGAGACCAGCCTGGACAATATAGTAAGACCCCTGTCTCTACAGAAAATAAAAAAGTTAGCTGGGCATTGTGACACATGCCATAATCCTAGCTACTCAGAGGCTGAGGTAGGAGATTGTTTGAACCTGGGTGTTCAAGACCAGTCTGGACATATAGCAAGGCCTGTCTCTAAAAAAATAAAAAAGGAACATTTTCACAGAAATGTTGGCATTTGAGGTAGACTTTGAAGAGTAGATAAGATTTTGACAACAGAAATAGCAGTGGGAGAAGGCATTCCGTATAGGAATGATTACTCAATGTCTGTGAGGATTGGGGAACAGTTACTGGTTCAGCTTGGCCAGAGACTAAATACTGCAGGAATTAGGGTGATAAACATTTGGGAAGGCAGGTTGAAACCATGTTGTGGAAGCATTGAATGCCATCCTGAAGATTTATATTTTTCTAAGCAGTGAAGAACTACTGAATGTTCTGAATAGGAGAACTGTATTGAACTTAACTTTAAATATAATATAATAACATTATTTATGTTACATAAAGTGACAAATGTAATTATTTTTTAGATGCTTGGATTTTCAAAAATGCCTTTATTCATGTATTTTCTGTTCAGCAAATATTTGTTAAGTACTTACTATCTACCAGCCTATACTAGCCACCAGGGAGATAAACTAACTCTTGGACATTTTTTCCTGTAAGGATTTGACCTTTAAAAATAGTTTTATCCTTTCTCCTCCCCAGGTGTGGAAGAAGGCAGAAATATGTTGAGAAAATAGTGCAAACACAAAGAAGTTCTTGAATCCATTACTGAATTATGTGCGTCTCTCACAGAGCTTGAAGAAAAACTGAAGGTAATTTCTTCTTCCCAGAGCATGTATTTTCAAGTGATATAAATAAAAATGTGTTGATCAAATGTCTTCTGCTGCAAAGATGTTCTAATAGAAATTCTCAAGGGACATAATGTGCACATTTGTTTCACAGCTTTCTAACATAATTATCTGGGTGTTTCTGATAATTATTCTGTTTCTTTCCATCACTGCAAAGAAAAATATTGCTGGAGGATGAAGCTAAACACAATTAAGGTGTCTCTTTACATTTTCATGGATCATAGCCAAAAAATAAATGGTGCCATTAAAACCAAAGTGAAGTGTGTATTAAGGAGCCTATAGTTCTGTTCATAATAATAGATGTCAGGGTTTTTTCCTCCAAATTGTGATACCAGAAAAAATAAAATTATAATATTTATAGTATTTATTAATAATATAATAATAATTTTCAGGTATTATCTTTTGGACATTTGCTTCATGGAAATAGTAAACTAATCATGATCACTTGTCACAAAATAAAAATTGATGGTAAAAATGTAAAGAAATGTTTATGTCTTATGTCTAGGCAAAACCAGTTGAAAGAGAAATACATATGTTGTTTGTCTATGTCATGTCAAACTCGTTTGGTTAATGCTGTTTCTACAACTGGCTGAAGGAACTGGTTATTGAAGATGGGTAGAAGAGCAAGGTCATTATGCATAAGGCTTACAGCAAAACAAGCTGCCTTGGAATATCAACTCCCGAATTATTGGATTTGTGACCTTGAGCAAATTATGAAATCTTCTGAGTCTCACATTCCTGATCTACAAAATGGACCACAGGGTAGCACTGAGGATTGAATGTGAAAATGCCCAAGACTACCATTGTGATTATTATTGTTATTGCAGCCCCATTGTGATCTTGCAATTCAGAGCAGAATTAGTATTTGTTAAAATGTAATGTTGAAAGAGATAACATAAGATGTATGGTTGATTCGTCCATTACTGGTGGTGTTATGATTATAAGACATTTTGGAAAGCAATTTAACACATATGTTAGAAACATTAGCAATTTCGTATGTTAAAAATTGCCCATTTTTCTCAAGTCTGCATTGGAGAATTTATGGGTAGGTAATAATAGAAAAGAAAGAAAAAACTATGCATGAAGATGTTCATGGTATCATTATTTAAAATGGTAAAAACGTTGAAAAATCTAGATTCTTAACCAAAAGAAAAATATAATTTGGTTGGGGCCCTGCTGAATTAAAAGCCTCTTAAATTATTTGACTGGAGTAGGCAGACAAATTTATGACATCAAAATTCAAACAGGAAAAATAGTGGTTAGAAAAAATATAATTCTGCTCTGAATTGCAAGATCACAATGGGGCTGCAATAACAATAATAATCACAATGGTAGTCTTGGGCATTTTCACATTCAATCCTCAGTGCTACCCTGTGGTCCATTTTGTAGATCAGGAATGTGAGACTCAGTAAGATTTCATAATTTGCTCAAGGTCACAAATCCAATAATTCTGGGAGTTGATATTCCAAGGCAGCTCTGTTTTGCTGTAGAGCCTGTATGCATAATGACCTTGCTCTTCTACCCATCTTCAATAACCAGTTCCTTCAGCCAGTTGTAGAAACAGCATTAACCAAACGAGTTTTGACATGACATAGACAAAACAACATATGTATTTCTCTTTCAACTGGTTTTTGCCTAGACATAAGACATAAACATTTTCTTTACATTTTTTACCATCAATTTTTATTTTGTGACAAGTGATCATGATTAGTTTACTATTTCCATGAAGCAAAATGTCCAATGAAGATAATACCTGAAAATTATTATTATATTATTAATAAATACTATAAATTATTATAATTTTATTTTTTCTGGTATCACAATTTGGAGGAAAAAAACCCTGACATCTATTATTTATGAACAGAACTATAGGCTCCTTAATACACACTTCACTTTGGTTTTAATGGCACCCATTTATTTTTTAGGCTATGATCCATGAAAATGTAAACGAGACACCTTAATTGTGTTTAGCCTTCATTCCCAGCAATATTTTTCTTTGCAGTGATGGAAAAGAAACAGAATTAATTATCAGGAACACCCAGATAATTATGTTAGAAAGCTGTGAAACAAATGTGCACATTATGTCCCTTGAGAATTTCTATTAGAACATCTTTGCAGCAGAAGACATTTGATCAACACATTTTTATTTATATCACTTGAAAATACATGCTCTGGGAAGAAGAAATTACCTTCAGTTTTTCTTCAAGCTCTGTGAGAGACGCACATAATTCAGTAATGGATTCAAGAACTTCTTTGTGTTTTGCCACTATTTTCTCAACATATTTCTGCCCTTCTTCCACACCTGGGGAGGAGAAAGGATAAAACTATTTTTAAAGGTCAAATCCTTAGCAGGAAAAAAATGTCCAAGAGTTAGTTTATCTCCCTGGTGGCTAGTATAGGGCTGGTAGATAGTAAGTACTTAACAAATATTTGCTGAACAGAAAAATACATGAATAAAGGCATTTTTTGAAAATCCAAGCATCTAAAAAAATAATTACATTTGTCACTTTTATGTAACATAAATAATGTTATTATATTATATTTTTAAAGTTCAGTTCTAATCAGTTTCTCCTATTCAGAACATTCAGTAGTTCTTCACTGCTTAGAAAAATATAAATCTTTCAGGATGGCATTCAATGCCTTCCACAACATGGTTTCAACCTGCCTCTCCCAAATGTTTATCACCCTAATTCCTGCATGTATTTAGTCTCTGGCCAAGCTGAACCAGTAACTGTTCCCCCAAATCCTCACAGACATTGAGTAATCATTCCTATACGGGAATGCCTTCCTCCCACTTGCTATTTCTGTTGTCAAAATCTTATCTACTCTTCAAAGTCTACCTCAAATGCCAACATTTCTGTGAAAATGTTCCTTTTTTATTTTTGTAGAGACAGGCCTTGCTATGTTGTCCAGACTGGTCTTGAACACCCAGGTTCAAACAATCTTCCTACCTCAGCCTCTTGAGTAGCTAGGATTATGGGCATGTGTCACAATGCCCAGCTAACTTTTTTATTTTCTGTAGAGACAGGGGTCTTACTATATTGTCCAGGCTGGTCTCAAATTCCTGGCCTCAAATAATCCTCTCACCTTGGCATCCCAAAGTGCTGGGGTTACAGGTGTGAGCCACTATACCCAGTCTTGTGAAAATGTTCTTAATCTTCCCCTATTGGATTTTATCTTTCCCTATTGGAATAATAATAAAAACAGCTACCATGTAGTGAGTACTTACTATTTGCCTTTGGTGAAGAACTTTATATGCATTATCTAATGTGATTCTTGGGTAGGTTCTATTACTACCCATGTTTTACAAATGAGGAATCTGATGCCCCAAGGAACTTATTCAAGTGATGCAGACAATAATTGAAGGAACGGGGATTTAAACCCAGGTCTATCTGACCCTAGAGCCTAGGCCAAGCTGTATTGCACCTTGTTATGGGCAGAACTGTGTCCCCTTACCCCCACAAATTCATAGTTGAAGTCCCAATTCCCAGTACCTCAGAATACAGCAGTATTTGGAAATAAGGTCTTTAAAGAAGTAATTAAATTAAAATGAGGGCATTAGGATGAGGCCTTAATCTAATATGACTGGTCGCCTTAAAGAAGAGGGAGAGTCACCAGGGGTGTCAGTGGGCAAAGGATGGCCTTGTGTAGAGCAGCAAGAGGGTAGCCATCAGGGAGCCAAGGAGAGAGGCTCAGAGGAAACTAACCCTGCCGGCACCTTGATCTTGGACTTCCAGCCTCCAGAACCATAAGAAAACAAATTTCTGTCGTTTAAGCCACCCAGTCTGTAGTACTTTGCTATGGCAGCCCTAGCAAACTAATGTACACAATTTATACCTTTCTCATTGCATTTACCATATCATGCCATAAAAACCTAGATTGTGGTTTCTTGAATACAGGAACTAGTTTTTATTTGTCTTTATATCCACCACAGCTCTTAGTATATAACAGTTATAAAAAGTTTATTTAGATAAATTTATTTGCATTAAAATTCTGGGATTCAGTCATGTTTGAGTTGCTTTCAAGAGCTGATATAATCTTACTAAAGTATCTTACTTGATGCAAATTTTAAAAAGGTATAGCTTCCATACTGTATAGATGAAGACTCATGTCATTCATTTATTCATTCATATTACTCATTCAATGATTTGATTCATCAAATATCTGTTAAGCAGTTAGTATGCTGATGCAACTGATAAAGGCACAAATACAGTGATAACATATACTCCCCTTGCCCTCAAGGAGCTTATGGTCAGTAGAAAGGATGGACAAATAAAACAAATGTTTATAGTACAGTGTGAAAAGTACAATAATAAAGGGAAACATATACAATGCTACAGGAGCAGAGTGCCTCCAAATTTTTTTAGTGCATTTCTATAATAACTGCAGCAAGAAGGAGATGTCATATTAGTTTTCATTAATTTTTCAATCTATATTTTATTATTTTTATGCTTTTACCTTTTCTTTTGGAAAATCGTGAATAATTCATTCTCAATAATTTACCATTAGCTAATGCAATCTTTATTCTACAAAATTTTATGGCTTTCCATGGATAGCGCTTCCTGTTATAAGAGAAAATATCTGGCAGCAGCCATAGGCAGCCTTTCATACCACTTGTTGCTGTCTTCGTTCTGTGCTGCATTTGTTTGGTCACTGGGAATTACTCATGGCCCCATAGGAACAATATCAGGGAATTCATGTAGCTTATTCCTCAGAGCCCCCAGGGACTGTCACCACCCAGGGACTTCTTAAATGGGACACTCCCTTAGGAACAACTTCTTAGCCTTACAATGGTATTACCTTTCCTAGTTATGGAGGAGAGGAAAGCAAAACTTATGAAAATGATTATTTGAGTTCTCTCATTTCTTCCACAAATGAGAGGAAGGCGAGGGAGAATATTCCAGTCCTTTCTCAAATCCGTGAACTAAAACCCTCATAGGAATGAGAAAGCTATAGATGTTAGTCTTAGCTTTGTGCCTACTTAAAGTATTACCCGAGTGGTGTATGTTTTTAAGGAATCATTCTAGTGGAAATTAGGTATTTTTTTTTCTTTGTGTCCATATAAGCTAAGTATAGTTCTGGCTTTATTACCCTGGAGATGAACAACAGGGATGGAGGAGAAAGGAGAATAGAAAAAGAAGGCTTACGCAAAGTTGTTAAAAATCATCAGGCTTCATCTCCTGCTGTCAGAAGTTCCTCCCACTATTCCCTACTGTTTTCTTACACTGGATGTGGGCTCTTATCTTGAGCCTTTTCCCTCAATAGGTTGGTGTAGTGAGGACTCTGAGGGTTTGCCGCACTCTTGCTTTCTGGCGGATTAGGTCAGTATAGATTTGTTGAATGGCAAATCACTAGATATCTTAAAAGTGATCTCACCATATAAGCGCTGAGCAAGGTCACTGGCCTCCTGAATCCTTTCTTCTTGCTGAGGCACTGCGGGCGCAATATATTTATTGAACTGCTGGTGGAGAATTTTCACTGCTTCCTTTGTCTTGCACTCTGTGGAATATTTCCCAACTCTTACAACTGTGGCACTTGCATCGTCATACCAAAAGTGACACTAAATTTAAATGGGATAAAGCACAGATTAAAGAGACACCACCCTTCTAAAGTTCTTCTTTTTGACCAGTGAAGTATCAAATTTTAATTCCTTCAGACTTTATGTTCACATTGGTTTGAGCTTTCTAAGTCACAATGGAGAATATATCAAAACTTGATCATATACTTTTGCACTTGGATATTAGAGGCAGGAATAAGACAGTTTAAGCATGAAAATACATATAAATAAAATTATAAGAAAGTAAAAGTATGGAAGTACAATTGATTCTCCTGCCTTCTTAGGTTTGTCTAAAATCTAATTCCTAAGAGGAGTGTTACAGACTTATAAGAACAGGCAGCATAAAAAAGCATTTGGCGCTAAAAATAATCCAAATAGCAGCTAAATAGCAAGGAAAAAGCCAAACACTCAAATCTAACATAATGAACTGATATTAACAGTACATGAGTAAAAGTATCATCTAGTTAATATTCTAATAAATACATTCTCTTTTAAGAATAAGATTTAGTTTATGAATGGAGGAAATATCATCCAAAGGATAGTATTTCACCATTTTCAAGTAGAAGATACTCAGTTATATTTTCACAACACAGTGGAGAATTGAAACAGTTTCTTAGTACAAGTAAATAACTGCAATGGAAGGAATGTCTGGGCCAGGGCAGAAGCACTTATGTTGGGTGAGAAATAGAAACGCATGACTCTGTTTGGAGCAGGTTTTAAATAAGTGTCATGAAGCTACAGCAAAACTATACATCAGACGAAGAAGAATGATCATCTTGATCCTCCTTAATCTGGTGTTAAATCTAAAAACTCAACTGTGTTAGTGGTAAACAAAGATGCTTTGTATCTCAGAATAACAGGCAAGGAAGAACACTCAAGAACTTCAAGTGTAGAATTTCTTCAATATGAAGTGTGCAAATAACTTTAACTTGTCAAATTTTACATATTTTATGTATACTGTACCATGTATCCTCTTGACAATAACAAAAATAACACCAATAACAACTTTTTGTAGCTGAAAAATCTCAGTATCATTTTTAAATAAATATTTTCAAATTCTGTGAAATAAAGCCATTCTGAGTACTTTAAGCACTGATATACTGCAGTGAACATAATTTCATGATGATTAGACATATTGAGTTGATGAGGTTATAGAGAATTGGGAACTCTCATACGTTGCCTATAAGAGTAAATTAGTAAAGCCTTTCTTAAGAGCAATTGGACAATACAATCAAAAACCTTATAACATTCATACCCTTTGGTCTAGCAATTCTATTTTAAAAAATTATCCTGTGTAAAAAAATTCATGGAAAAGAGCATGATACATGAATTCAATGACAATAATTGCGAATGTAGCATTGCTTTAAAGTAGCAAAACAATATTTTAAAACAACATTACAACATAGATACCATTATAAGAAGAAGATACCTCTTCCACCACTTCCTGGAGATGCTCAGTCAAGTCCAAATTTTTCTTGTAATCTGTCACAACTTTGTCAAAGTCATCCACGTGTTTTTGCAAATCCTTTATGGCCTCCGAAAGGACATTTACTTTATTAGTTGGATAATTTAAGAAAGAATCAGAAGTTTTATTATTAACTTTTTCCATTCTCCTTTTCAAAGCCTGTGCAAAAAAAAGTTATAAAAATGACATCCTATTTTTATTTTTGATGCTAGTAATTAAATAGTAAGAGAAAAACTTGAGAAAATTTTTGTAGCTTCTATTCTGATATGTCAGAATCATAATTATTACAAATATATTTTGTAAAGAATGTTTTTTCAAATATTTTATTAATTCAGCATTCAGCAAATATATAGAAAATTTACTATATACCAGGGTCTATCCCAGATGTTGAGAATAATAATATGATATATTTTTTTAAAAGCCAATGGTAATAAAAGCAAATACTTGTCCTCAATAAGCTCACTGTGTCCTGCAGAAAGCATTTAAATATTCTCTCTAGTGCATATGTTAATCAAGGTAGGAATAAGAGGATATGGGAGCAGTGGAGGAAAATCCTCATATAGGCAGGTGCAAGGAAAGGAAGAGAGGCATAGAATGGTGTGTGCACGTGTTGGGAGAAAGAATGGAAATAGATAGGCTGTGTAGGTTTGGCAGAAACCATTCTGGAGCTGCCTCAAGAGGTAAGAACCCAATTGTTATAAAAAGGGAAAACCATCCTTTTAGTCCCAATGCTATCAAAAACCCAAGAGGTAAGCATCTGGAATTCAAATGCAAAGTGATTTTGCAATAATTGTGGTAGTACACATGCACACACATACACGCACATATACACCCGCCATGCTTTCTCCTTACCTGCATTTTTTCAGCATACATATCAACTTGTTGAATTTGATACTTAAGAGCCTTCAGATTCCGAGCTTTTTCGTTTTTCTTAGTGTAGTTAAACTTCAAATTGTTGAATTTCTTTTTGATATCTTTGAATGACTCTTTGAGCTGCAGTTCAATAAAAAGAAACAGGCAGTTTCCTTAAAACAAGAAAACTAATATTCAGTTGCAATAAATCAAAGCGCATAAACACTTCAAAATATTCATAATTTTTACAATGTATTCAGAGTGATTTTCAATAGAAAATGAATCTGCTAAGTGGACAGAGAATGTGAATTTAAATATATCCCCCTAATACAAGTAATTATAAATTGTTTAAAAATACTTTTTGATTTATAATTTTTAATTATGATTATAGTTATAGACCCTAACAATACAGTTTCTCACATGTCATACATAGACTTTCAACTACTGTAATTTTCTTATTTGTATTTATTTGGTATCATTTTCCCATTCATTCTGTTCTCTGTATGCTAATATTGGTTTCAGAGCCTTCTGTCTCCTGATTTGCTCTTATAGCCATCACGTATAAATTTATTAAGGCTCCAAGGAGCTATTCACATTGAAGAAGTTAATAAAGTGTTGACAGTTAGACCACCCAGGACATTGGGGGGAGGGGCAGAAGAGAAGATCCAATATGAAATTTACTAGGAAAAGAACTTCTTTTGCCCAGCTAAAAATAATTTTTAATGAGCAGTTTCCAAGAGTTTTCCTTCTTAGTTATAGGCCATTAACTTCAGAGATATTTCAAAAACAGAAAATTAGTTGTTGTTTATGATGGCAATACTAACTTGTATATAAACAGGAATATGGCTATATATTGAGAATAGGGTACAGATTATGACAGTCTTAAGAACAGTTCAACTGGGCCGGGCGTGGTGGCTCACGCCTGTAATCCTAGCACTTTGGGAGGCCGAGGCGGGCGGATTGCTCAAGGTCAGGAGTTCGAAACCAGCCTGAGCGAGACCCCGTCTCTACCAAAAATAGAAACAAATTAATTGACCAACTAAAATATATATATATACAAAAAAATTAGCCGGGCATGGTGGCGCATGCCTGTAGTCCCAGCTACTCGGGAGGCTGAGGCAGTAGGATCGCTGAGCCCCGGAGATTGAGGTTGCTGTGAGCTAGGCTGATGCCAGGGCACTCACTCTAGCCTGGGCAACAAAGTGAGACTCTGTCTCAAAAAAAAAAAAAAAAAGAACAGTTCAACTATACTAGTGCACCAAAAATTTAAACCACCCAGTTCCCAGTTCCATTAAATGCACCACCTTCTGTCCCTTCTCTGTAAGAGAAGAATAAGCATATTGACAGACAACTCTGTAGTAACAACAAAGAGAAGTATAGCGAAAACATAAACCTTCTGATTATATGGAGGCATTCAACAGCAATACTGAACAATGTCATAGTTGATAAATTTGAGCTATGATAAGAAAAGTCAGAAAAACATTAGCATTCTTTCCAATGAGAGTAAACAAATTATTTGGGAGGGAATAAAGGTGATGCACATGCTAGAAACCATTTAGACTTGTAATGCAGAGAAATATATATGTCCTAGAAAATGCATGCTTTCTTAAAATGGTTATTTCAAATTCTGCATATTGTGAAAACAAAACCTTGATCTTTAACACTTTGAAAACATCATTTTTGAAGCCCTAGCAAACTTGTACACATGAAAATTATTTTACCGATGCAATTTTTGCATCTGATACAACTATAGTTAATAGTGTTGTTTATTTTATATGGTAAATGAAATTGTTGAACATTACTTTTAAGTTACAAACTAAACCAAACAGACACCACATAAACCACTTTAATTCATAAACCAATTATGTTCAGAAAGAGTGAAAAGAGTTATTGCTTCAAAATTTGAAAATTAGTTCTCTATTAGAATTCAAGGAATTATTTTAAAGATCATATTCAGTTCATATACTCATGAAATAAAAATAAAAATTTGCATTCTATGAAATTCAGTGTTTTAATATCGCATGTGTTTGATTTTAATAGGAAAGGATAAATAAGATCAATTTATGAGATTGAGATATAAAGGGACTATATCCTCTGTTATTCACATAAAACTTAGGCAGGTGATTTTTCCCCCCAAAGTCATAATTCACAACTATAAATATAATAAGTACCATATTTGAGGAAACCAGACATTCTTGTTTAAAAAAAATCTCTTCAATAGCAAGTTACTATTTAATGAGTACAGAGGTTTCTGTTTGAGATGATGAAAAAGTTCTGCAGATGGAAAATGGTGACAGTTACACAACAATATGAAAATACTTAATATCATTAACCTATACACTAAAATGGTTAAGCTGTTAAATTTTATGTTACATGCATTTTACCACAAATAAAAATAAAATAAAGGGAAAAAACACATATCATCCCTAACAATTATCCAATGGAAAATTTTAAATTCTTATTTTTCTCTACTGAAATACAACATAGATCATAAAACCTTAGTCTAGAGGAAGGAAAAGGGGCTCTGTCATCAACCTCATCTCCACTGGCTTACACCTGCTTGTCGAAAAGGCACAGTGTACTATCTACTTGAAAACTATATGATGGATGGAGAAAAGCTGTCTTAACACTTTAAAATTCTAAGCTATGAGATTTTAAGTCTACTTTGGATGAAGAAATTTAAGGCTGATAAGCGATGAATGTAATTTTACTTCTGATTGCTTCAGATTGTGTGCACTTCCACGGAAGATGATTTATAAGCCCAAAGAATGTTCACGAGGCTGTGGGTAGGAGTGTGAAACAGGATCAGCATCTTTCTGACACATGAGCTCCCTTGACAAAGTTGCTGGCACTTTCTCTTTTGGTTTCACTGGAAATCCATTTTAAATCTAAACCCCAGTGCCTTTCCCAACTCAGATCCAGGATTATAACAGGTAAAAGTGGAAGGTATAGAGTGCGTGAACTACCTTCAGCAACTGAAAAATCTAGTCATACTTAATTTTCTTACCTGCACTTTCCAATATGAAAACTTAACTTCCCATCTAATCCCCACATAACTTGTGATCATGTTTTTTTTTTTTTTTTTTCAGAATATGGAAGTACAATTGTTTAGGTTACATATATTGCCCTCGTCTCCCCTCCCCCCTCGAGGCAGAGCTTCAAACGTGTCCATACCCCAGACGGTGTGCATCACACTCACTATGTATGTGATCATGTTTTTTAAAGGTACTGAGTGCCATGGTGGCTCGGCCGTGGTGTCATTGTTCACGCAGCTGTTTCTAACTTTAGTTAGCTTGTCAACAATGGAGAACGGTGGAGATGGCTGAGACAACTGCTCAACCTGCGCACACAAGCAGGAAAAAACACCTCGCGCTTGGGGTGAGAAAAATGCTACCCTATTAGAAATCTTTAAATGTTGTTATAATTCATATTAAAGTTTCTGAAAGTCTTTAAAAACTAAGGTAAAAGATACTTTTTCTAATGAATAATTTGACTTCCCTATCGTTCCACCTGCTCAGTTCCTCCATATTTGCCATACAATAGGCAGACTGAGTTATCATAGCTATAATTAGAAAAAACATTATTAAGATTTAAACATTGTAATTATTTTAAAATTAGCAGAATGAGCAACTTCCCCAAATTTTCCAGTAAGCGGTAAACCCTGTCCCTTCTCCCCACCCCCCTTAAGGGTTAGGAATGAACAAAGCTTCTTCGGGATAAAGCAGATGGGAAGAGGGTGATGACAAGTGAGGCTGGCTTGCTATTCTTAGTCTTGACTAAGCTGGTTGAGGCAGCTTTGGCACAAAAATGTGTTTATTTGTAAGTCTGTTGCGGGCAAGGCCAATTTGTGTGAGGTACGTGGGACATTTGAAAACAGAAGAAATGAATTTGAAAAGAAAGCCTTTCCTTGGAACTATGGCACAGGCTTGGCCAGAAGCAAAAATATGAAATGAGTAGTTAATTTTCATTTTTTCTTAATGTCCACTTCACGAATGTGATTTCCTGCCCGCCATTTTGTCTTCTCCAGAGAAACACTTTCTGCTGCTCATTTCAGTATTGGAAGGCTGTAATGTTACCACCCCAGGATGCTGCATTTGAAATCAAGACATCAAAGGCTCAAAGTTTAACCCAAACGATTTGCTACAATCATTTATGGTAGAATAGTCAGCCTTAGTGCTGGAGAGATTTCAGAACAAAACTTTCCTGGCCTCCTTCCATTTGGCCACCACATCTCTGTCTTCTTGTGCGTGAGGTCAGTCTCATAGCAGCAGAAAGTGGGGCAGCTTGGAAAGAGAAGACAATTGCTCTGTCTTGAAGTGTAGGTGGCAGCAAGTCTCAGTAATAAACATTTTATCCATTCAGCATGTTTTGTGTCTTCATACTATATTTGTTATTTTATTAGTTTTATTTTCTGGACATTTTAAACTACATCTCTCTATATTCTTCAGGAAGATCCCACAGAGTCACTTTGCAGATGTTAAACACCAACATTCTAAAGGATTTTAACCCCATGAGATAGCCATTTTCAGAACAAATGGTAACCTTTCCTATCTTCTTACACATACCATCCAAATGGACCTAGGATAGGGCCTAACAGACCACTGGCTGCAACTGTGAAGCCCTGTGGGTTTTAATTCCCCCTAAGACACTAAGTTTCCTGAGGACATTTGTATTCTTATGGTCTGGCACATAGTAACCACATTAAAGTTATTTGCTGAATGGAGACAATGTAGTCTTTTTTAAAAGAATGATGAATTTGGATTGTAATTCTGGAAGATAGCTATTGTCCATGTTATAGCCTAGTGCTGTTCCATGGAAATCACATGACTGATTTATTCAAATTGATAAGAGAGTTTGTGCCCCTGGAACACAGGACTGACATATGGAATATATATATATATATATATATATATATATATATACTAAATACTTCTCTGCTTTCTTCCTGATGGGTGAGATGTTGGTATGGTGGAAAAATGTCAAGGTAAGGTAAAATAATTATCTGAGAGCTTCTGTGTCGAAAATTTCTTTTGAGAAAATGAATACCAACCCAATTCTGTCATTGCTATTCTTTCCAGAAAGTAATTGTTTGTGACCAACAATATGAGTCACTAGTGAAAAATTTCCATTAGCATGATGTAAATATAAAGGTAATTTTTTTGGTCAGGTTGTAAGAAGAAAACATGCTCCATATTAACTTATTACATTTCTAAATGTAGATGTATAAAGAATGATGTTCCCCTGTCATGTAATATGGCAGAGAATATGTCTATAGCAGTTTGTGTATGAACAACTTATTAATATAACCAGGGAAGAAAATATACAGAGATATTCAACCTTCATGCATACAAATGTATCTTTGTGTGAAAGGAGTAGGAAAAAAACTCCACAAAATCTGACAGTCTGAAGGTAGATGTGGAGAAAATGAGGTTTTACAATTTCCTGTGTCTTAGTATGAAATTAGAAAAAAGGATAATCAAGGAACAAAACCATCATTCTTTGTCTTTAAGAAACATTTTCAATTATGTTTAGAGCACCTTACATCATTTTGTCTTGAGGTTTCAAGTTTTTTCCTAAGGGCTTTCAGTGCTATAAAGACTGTGTAAATCAGCTATAGCATAGTCAAGAAAGAAATTTTTGTTGAAATAACCAAGTGAACTGTACCATTATATCAGATCATACAAACATAACAGGTATGCCAGAAAATAGGGATAGAAGAGGAAAGCATAGAAAAAGGATACATTTCACATCAGACCATGCATTGGTTGAAAGGGACTAAAAGATTATATGAATAATGAATTCTGAGTTTAGCAAATGATAAGCATGTTGGTGCCCAGCAAATGACTCTGTAGTCTGAAGTTGACTCCCTGGAACACTGAGCAGAAGGTCCGGAGCCCTCTAACAGCACATTGCTAAAATGAAAATCATGCACGCCTCAGTTTTCCCATCTGAAAAATGAAGATGTTGAACAAGAAATTCTCCAAAAGCTATTGTTAGTCAGAGGCTGTGAACTTTCTAGAAGCACTTTAAGCACATTGGAAGCAAGACATTGTGTTTTATTAGTAAAATCAACTTTAAAAAATCAAATGCTATGCTTGATCTAGTTCTTCAGCAGATAGTATTATTTTATGCAGAAAAAAATTAGTGGAACATATGGCATTTAATTTTACATAGTGTTTTAAGCACCTAAACCCAAAGACTAATAATGATAATAAATAATAATGTCTAGATGTCAAATATTATTACCACTGTGGAAATCAGCCATCTGTTTGTGCTCTGATAGTCACCATATAAACCCCACACACGTATCTTTATTTTACTAAGGGGCACTGAAAATATTCCTTTTGATTATTTTCCCATTAGGCTTGTGGTTGGAAAGTCCAGGGTGGGGATGCTACACTCTGAGATGCCGGCTGTATCTCTACAAAAGAAGGAAAGGCTAAAAGGACCCAAGGTTTTCAAAGGTCCTTTAAATGTGAAACTGTAACTTACATCAAAGATCAATTGGCTTAGAAGTGGAAGCAAATGGGAAGAATATCTCTCTTAATATTTAAGAGCATGCTAAAGTGATATCTGATTCCTAAATCGAACCCACATGTATCTGGTTGCTCATTCCTGACATGATACAGACAATCCTGGTGTGCTCCTGCCGTGACTGGAAGGGACATCTGCCCTCCGAGCCACTGGCTGCAAGCACAGGCTCACCATGAGGCAGACCCTGTAAATAGAAACCCTGCTGAAAGGGCCTGGGCAGGGAGCCCCCGCTCTATAAATGCCACAGCTCTTCAGGGAGAGGGAACCCAGCCAGAGGGGGCTGGGAACAACCTTAGCTGCTCCACTTGTGCTTTAGTGAATACAGAGCTGAGCCATCCTGCAATGACAGAGAATTTTGGAAAGGCTAAGGTGCACAAAAAGCAGAAGGAGGAGAAGGGAGAAAAAGGGGGAAGGAGGGACAGAGTGGGGGAGGGGAGAAAGGCAGAGGGAAGAAGAAGAAAGAAGATAATTTGGGGGAAAGATTTTCAAAAAATTATTTCCATGGCCACGAATCCAAATTCTGTAGCCTTGAGAAGACCACTTTGCTCTGATTGTTTTTCCTAACAAGGCCCAGGGGAAGTGTAAGCTGCAGGGCAGGAACAGGAAGCAGCCATTCTACCAGGCAGAGGGCAGCTCCACTGTGGGCTCCACCCTGAATGAGTATGTGAATCTCTGGCCAGCAGTGACTCCGTGGAACACAGGCCCTGAGCAGAAACTCCACAGTCCTTTAGTCCAAAATGAAGTGAAAATGCTTATCAGATATCAGTTCCTGCAACCCTCCTGTGAAACGGGATCCAAGCAGCCACTCCTGCTCTCTCCACCTCTCATTTTCCTTCCAGCCGTGACCCCTCCTGCACCTGCCTGTGGTCCGTACAAGCGTGGCCTGCATGGGGGCACTTCAGAGCTGGACCGTCATTAAAGCTTAGTTACTTACACTTTAGTCCATGCTTTAATGTTGTTCGTTAAGATTTGACACTTGCTGGACCTAGCTTACAGAAACTGGGCATAAACAAAGTTCAGGAAGGTATACCACCTCCTCTTCCCCCACCCTCTTCCTAACGGACTTAGGGTTTAATGGACATAGAACATTTTGCTCTAAATGGAGATAAATCTGGAATTATGGGTACCCTTATGTTCCGCTATCAATTCCCAGTTAGAATCAGAACCCTTACTATTCCAACTTGACGGGGTGTGTGCGATTGTGGGTGCCCCCCGAAATGAGTAAGCATGTGGGTGAAAGCTTGGCTGGGTGGGTGGTAGCTGTGGTTCAGTGAGTATCTGGGGGTTAGAGATTGGTTCCAGTTGACGGGGAGGAGGTGAAATTATGTATGTGAGGGTGCAGGGATGTGGAGGTTCACTTTTATCTGCTATTTCCTTTTACTCTAAGAGTTGTTTTGCCAGGAAAACCACTCAGCTGGAGTAAATATGAAAGCAGCCACTTGATGTTAGTGATAACACTTTGTAGCCTCTGAAGCAAAGAGCATGGCCCTCAGCACCCCATTCACCATGAGTCAATGGTACTTAAATAGAATCTCAGCAGGCTGGAGCTGGCTGCAATGGGTCAGTGTCACCCCTTCCTCTGTGGTCTACAAGAGCTGTAGCCACTCTAGCAAATGACTGCTACACAGCTTTGAGTGGGGGAAAACAAAACAAAACAAATCCCAAAAAACAAACAAAAGCAACCCTAAAAACTACTGCATTCTAGGTTTTTCTATGCACTGACAGCATACTGACTTCAAGAAGTTTGGGAGCTTAAAGTTTACTCAGATTTTCAGAGCCCTGAGGCCACTGCCTATTGGATTAAAGGACATGGGTGAGAAGAACATTTCCTGATTCATTGCATGCGTGCACATGCGCACGTGTGCATGTGAGCATGCACGTGTATGGACACTGAGACACATGTTTTAGGTTCAAACAGCTTTTGGCAATGAGTCATTTCTCACGTCCCTCACCTCGTTTATCTCATCCCTTGTGGCACAGTACTCCAAGCTGCGGGACAGGGTCTGTTCATACTCCCCAGCTCTGGCACACCAGTTCAGGCTGTCCTCCTCAAGGGTCTCCAGCTGCTGCTGTAGGTTCTTTGCAGAGACGTTAGAGCAGCTCTAAAAATGACAGGCAAGTGGAAGTAATGAGGGTAATGGATGAAACAGCAATGAGATGAATATGCTATTTACCTGCATTATGAAACTCATAAATGACACTTTTTAAAAAAAGACATAGGCTCCTGATTTATTTTACCTTAAACACATTTGAATATAATTATTTCAGAAAGAAGCCAGACAGCCAACATTATGGGAAAGACATTTCCAGTCTTGAATCGCTAGTTCTGAAGATTTGCTTATCACACCCAACTCCTCAGAGACACCATTCATTATAAGGTATAATTTTTACTTCAAAAGGCATAAAATATGCATTAGAAACATTTGACTTCTGCACTATAATTTTCCTGTCAACTTAAGCTTAACCTTAGGTTCATTATGCAAGCGCTGCCGTCTCCACTCCGCACCCAGGGCTGTGGGGGCCAAGGCCAGGGGAGGATTGGAGAACAATTTACACTATCTGCGCAAAGTGGGACTTCTTTCTTTCTTTTTTCTTTTTAGAGTAAATTTGCTAATAAAATAAAACTCCTTAAAAAAAAAAGCTCTTTCCTGGAAAAAAGTAGATTCTATAAATAGCAACAGATACTTTGAATTTCTATGTCTTTCAGTTTTAAAAAATATCCTTTAGGTTCACTGCATTTCCTATAGTGTAGTAGATATCTTAAATGTACTTTAAATAAAATTGGCCATTACGATTTAATCGATGTTATACATATTGATAGAATAAACATAATCTATTCTCCCTTCAAATTGGACATTTGGAGAAGGATTTTTAAAAAATCAGTGTTATTGATCTGGAAATACTTCCTTCTCTTTAAGGCTCTTCTTTTGAAGTCAGTCCAGTGGCATAACGTGGACCCAATGAGTGGTTCCCAGATCCCTGGCTAAAACCAACCGGAAGGGTTGGACTCCTCCACTGTGGGCTTTTGGACAAGGCAGCCAGCCTCTCTGGGCCTCAAATTCTTCTTCTATAAAATGTGGGTTCTGGCTTGGATGAGCTCTCAGATCTAGATGGTCGTCCATGCCTGCAATGCTAAAGCAGCATCGGCCAACAGAAACATAATGTGAACCACGCAAATAATTTGAAAGTTTCAAGTCATCATATCAAAAAGTAAATAAGAAATAGATGAAATTTATTTTTATAATTTAACCATGTATGTGCAAGTATCACCATTTTAACATGTGACCAGTACAAACAATATGATTTCTGTATTAAGTCTTTGAAATCTGATGTGTATTTCATGCTTTGAGCATATCTCAATCATTCAATTTCTGTCAGAACTATTTGATCTGTATTTAAATTTCATAAGTTTACAGTTTCAAAAGTTGATTACCACCCCCAAGTTGTTCCCAGCATAATTAAAAGTTTTCCAATAACTATATTGAGAATCAGTTTTAAAATTTAAATTTAAATATAATTCAAATTAAATAAAATTAAAAGCTTAGTTCTTTAGTTGCATTGGGCACATTTGAACGGCAAAAATACTGTCTGCCACACTGGATTACACAATATAAATACTTTTTTTAAAAGAGTATTTTAAAAAGAGTATTTATATACAATATACAATATAAATTGTACAATATACAATATAAATACTCTTTTTAAAAAATTGGCATGAGAATAGAAACAATTAACAGGACATTTATATTCGGATTTTCTATTTAAATTTTTTTTTCTTCTGTCATAGGGTAGAAGCTCATCACCAGTTACTACCTCAATGGTTTAATGTATTTTGTAATTTAATATATATTAAGCAATCTGGCCTTGTTCCTTTCATGTCATAGCCCAAGCCCAGAATTAGGGGTAAGTGATGGTGCTCAGAGATGCTCACAGGCCGCTGCACTGATGAGATGATGTCCACTCCAAAGGAAAGGGCCAGTTTATAGAGATGGTCCACGTGTGCCTGCTTTTCCTGCGAGCGACGGAGGTGACTCTGAATCTCATGAGCATCACCCAGTTCCTTCAGCTGCTCTAGAAGCTCCAGATCTCTTGATTTGATGAGCTGTCCCAGCTGGAAGTTAGTGCATTAACAATTAACCTCAGTTTTACATGAGGACAGATTTTCTTTTAAAGTCCATTTGCTATAACATATTTTACTAGCTACTCAAAATGCTGCCAAGCCCATCCCTAATGGTTGTCATCGTAGCCAAATAAATGTTAGAATGCTGCGAATCTGGCCGGATGGGGTGGCTCACACCTGTAATCCTAGCATTCTGGGAGGCCGAAGCGGGTGGATTGTTCAAGGTCAGGAGTTTGAAACCAGCCTGAGCGAGACCCCTTCTCTACTAAAAATAGAAAGAAATTAATTGACCAACTAAAAATACACATACAAAAAATTAGCCAGGCATGGTGGCACATGCCTGTAGTCCCAGCTACTTGGAGGCTGAGGCAAGGCAGTAGGATTGCTTGAACCCAGGAGATTGAGGTTGCTGTGAGCTACGCTGATGCCACGGCACCCACTGTAGCCTGGGCAACAAAGTGAGACTCTGTCTCAACAAAAAGAGAAAAATAAAAAAATAATAATAATGCTACAAACCTAATAGGGCAAAAATTGAGTAGCTAATGTTGTCAGTTATTTTAAAGAAGGAAATACTCTTTTTGGTTATAACCTAAAACCTTAGCAAGATCTAAGCCTGTGATCTGAATAAATCCAGAGACTATTTTAAAGGGATATCCATACACTTCACTTTGTGTTTATAGAGGCTAACAGCTATGACATTTTTGTAAAAAGGGCAACCAACAAATACATATTTACTGAGCACTCCATGATGTCAGGTATTTGAGATACATAAAAATTGAACTTGGTTTCTGCCCTCAAAGAGCTTACACTTGAATTGGGAGGGTATGTGGAACTCTATATATTAAAAAGTAATTGAAAATCAAGATACTAAAAATACAAGATGTGTGAAATAAACAATGAGAGCTCTAGGATTTTAGAAGTGAGAAAAATTACTCAAAGTGATGTAGGATTGTTGGAATGAGATACAGGGTTTAGATATTAGGGCAGAAGGAGAGAGAGACCTGTCAAATAACAGTAGCTTGAGAGTCAAGGCTTGATGGCAGGAATGTGTGCACCTTCTCTGAGGGACAAAGAACTGAGTTTGGCTAGAACATAGGGAGCATGGGGCATAGTGAGAGATAAGTTAGGGGTCAGATTGCATAAGCTTCTAGTATCAGAATAAGCAATTTGGCCTTATTTATTATACAATAATTAATTTTTAATTTCATAGTTCAAAACTCTGAGTCTTCCAGTCATCTATTCAGTGTCTTACCTCTTCCTTGACTTGGTGGAACTGGACCACTTTGTACAGGATATCCTCATAGTCTTGGATTCTCTCCTTCTGTTTTTCATGGAGGTGAATAAGGTCCTTCAGTTGTTGGGACTTCTCTTTCACAGGGGCTCCTTTGACACTTAACTCTTCTGATTCTTTCATAATGTACAGAACCTCGTCTTTCAATTGCTAAACATTAACAGCAATAAAAGAAATCCAGCTTTTAGAGAGCTTTTCACTTTATCACTGCCAATATGAAGGTCTAAATAATGACTCATTCTCACATTTAAAAAAATACTTATGAACCCCCATCTCCAAAATTCGGGCATTGTGCTAGATGCTAGGAATACATTGTTCCATGCTCATCTTCTCAGAAATTATTAATTAAAAAATTATGAGCAATGCAAAGACAGTGTTTCAATGTTAGGTGGTGAAATGGAATCATGTAGTTCTATGGAACACTTAATATTCTTGTCATCTGTTAAGTCAATGTAGTTTATTTATTTATTTTTTTCACAGTGCTCAAGTGAACAGGTTAATTAATGTTGTTTAGATATTTGATGAAGCCCCATGACCAGCTATGATATTTAATATAAACTAGAATCAGGTGGTGTGGTAAGAGCACCAAGAGCAGATGAGTGTAAAAATACATCAGGGGAACTACTCGTGCACTATGGTAAAAGAATGAAGAGAATGAAGCACCAGCTGAACAGCACAGCAGATATGCTGTTTCAAAAGCAGTCATCCCATGAGCTACAAATAACCACCACATGTAGGGTGGGGTAAGCTGCCTTTCCTTTTACCCACAATTGTTCAGATATCCCTTATGGCACCCAGATACTGGAGTAGAATTTTCAAAGAGTGGACAACTTACAGAGAATGCTACTATTAATAATTTCAGGGATGGATCTTGTTTAATAAGTAAAAGTAATGGAAATGATTAAGACTAAGGAGATAATTTTCAGAAAAGTGACCTAAAAAGAGTCTTCAAGTTCAAATTAAACACATGAGTGTCAAATTTAAGCACATCACAGTGACAGAGCTAGGGAAGTGTGGCAATGGTTTCTGAGTTAGAGGAACATAGAGGAACACGTACACGTGTGCACAAATGAAATGCAAATAAGCACATATAGGGTATATCAAAGAACCTAATATAGACCAGTTACATTTGCTGAGAGTTTTGTTGTAGGTGTGTGTGTGTGTGTGTGTGTGTGTGTGTGTGTGTGTGTGTGTTTGTAGCAGGGATGGTGGTTATATTTTACATCCGTTTTGTCTTAAAGGAAACTACAGTTAAATATTCCCTAAAGGACTTTTCACTCTTCTGATTCTGGCATCCTTTAGAGCCCACACTTATGAAGTCATGACAGATGGAAGCGCAGGTATCTTAATTTTGCAGCAAACAACAAAAATCCAGGCAGGAGTACAATATAACCAGCAACCATTTTTGACAGTTGTGTCAAGATTAGCAGAAGCAGGAGGTGGGGAAATAGGGAATGTGTTAGGCAGTCAGGGGACTGGACCATGACTCATGGTTTTATGTCTCATATCCTGAGGCCTTTCTGAGAGGGTGAATGGACAGCACAGCAAAATTCCTGGCATGGTGTGGGAGCCTTGGGTGTGGTAGGTTGGGACAGTGACATCACAGTGGTCACCTCACAGACCCAGGGCAGCAGAGCCTCTGGGTCAGGGGTTACCCATTCTTGTTCTGAGATATCTCAATTTAAAACACATCTGTACTCACTAGAAAAAGAATAAGAGTGAATACATGATAAATATATTAATAATTTAATTAATAATGTCAATTAAAATAACCTAGGGTAAAGCTATATTTAGGATATTTTGTAGCCCAAATGTTTGTGGATCATCCAATTGAGAAGAGTGCAGGAAAACAGTAAGAAAAGTGTGTCTCTCCAGTGATTTTTAGATAAGCAACGCTTTTGTAGAAAAACAGAAATTCATCAGTTTGTTACAATTAATTAGGTAAACTGCAACTGAGCAGTGTTTAAGTTTTTTTTCCATTCACCCAGATCCATCCATTTCTTCACCTGGAACTGAGGCTTCATTTCATTCCATTTTTTCCGTAGATCTAAAATGGTCTGGAGGCTTCCTCCAAGGTCAAGTGCACACACAGGCATAAGGGCCTCCTGAAGAAGCTTTAAGTTGTGAGTAGTCTGAAATGAACATGAGATAGTTAGCTGTGCATACGCCCGCTCTGACACAGCAAACACGCCGTGATCATTCTAGGAATGACGTGCCGCGTCGCCAAACTTCAACCCTGTGAAAACATTCCCAACCTTAAGTGAGCTTGTTTCAAAAACATCAAACAATAAAGGTACAGATCCTTGGTTTCCCTTACCTTTTTTGGCTTCATTGTGGTGACGTATATATAATAAAATTTGCCATTTTTAAGTGAGGAATCAGGGGCATCATTAACACATTCACACCGTTGTGCAAGCACGATCACCACCATCCCTCTCCAGAACTTTTTCATCATCCCAGACAGAAAGTCTGTACCCATTTAACAACAGCTCCCTCTTCCCTCTGTCCCTCCCCCCAGCCCCTGGTAGCCTGTATTCTCCTTTCTGTCTCTACTAATTTGACTCTAGGTACTTCACATAAGTAGAATCACACAAAATTATCCTTTTGTGTCTGGCTTATTTCACTTAGCATAATGTTTTCAAGGTTCATTCACGTTGTAGCATGTCTCAGAATGTCATTCCTTTCTAAGGCTAGGTGACATCCCATTGTCTGTTTCCTCACCTTTTTAAGTTGCTCTTTGAATGCGCCCCACTGCAGTTTCACAGGCTTGCCCTCAGTGGCTTTAAGTTGCCATACCAGCCGAAGGAGGCTGAGTTCTTCCCTTTTTGCCTTCCAGTTTTCCACAATGTTCTCCATGATGTGCGTTTCATTTTTCACATTTAATATCTCATTCTCTTTTGCCTGTTAAATTGATAATTCATATAATGGCTTTTCTTTCCCAAGAGATAGAACTTTTTGGCATACGACGATTTTAGAAGGCAAATACTTTATTACGGCCAAAGCAGAACACGGTTCTGATATCCAGGCAAGTCTGAATTCCTTGTGCCAAGACACAGTTAGGCTCTCAGAACCCATGTTCTAAGCTTGGATATCAGGTCCAAAGTTCTTCCAGACCCAGATGGTGTCTGAATTTCCACCTAGGGTCTGGTTATTTTCTGGGGTTTGAAGGGTGATTTAATGAGCATGGGGATCCAGAATTTTTGAAGTCAAGATTTTTCTACTTGATAAGTGTTGAAATGTACTCCATCTTTTATTTCAACATGATCCTTAGAATATGATAAAACATCAGTAACAAGGAATGAAAGGGGGATGGTTGTTCTGGACCTCTGTTTTTCTCTTGAAACTATCCCATTGTGCATATTATAATTAAATTTCTCTTGTAGTTTCTCAAGTTCCTCCATTTATGAGAACTGAAATGGGTACTATGTCTCTATATTCATAACTCTATCATGTACCAGAAGCACAACATCTAAATTCAAAGACTTCACTTGCCAACTTTCACGTGTTCTAGCTGACTGGTTTGCAATCCTCTGAACAATTGTTTTAAACAAGGGGAAATTCAACCAGAGGCAAAAGGATGAGGGGTAAAGAGTAAGACCATGAGCTTTATTTCTGTAGAAACATAAAAAAATGCAGAGGAACATTTATTTGGCAAAACACTGTTTTTTTACTTTGATGGCAAGGCTTTCTCAATAATTTTTCAAATTTCAAATGGATTTCTATAATCTCAATGACAGCAACTGATGTATCATAAATATTTAATGGGATATTTTAGATAAATTTCATTTTATTTTTAAATTATTTAAATGATATTAACATTGAACATTTATATTTTTATATTGCTTTAGACATTATAAAGTTAATCGCAAAAATATATAATTGCAGGTCCTAAATGAGATTTCCCCCATGAATTTGAGAATTTAGTAATAAAAGATATCTTCTGTAATTAGGATTAACGAAATATAATAGATTATGTAAGATGTGAGACAACTATAGCAGGACCTACCCCAAATTATATTTTTATCTATGTTACAAAGTTAAGGTATCTTTCACATATTATTGAGAAATTATTAACCCAAATGTAATATATCATATAATTTAATATAAACTTGGGAATTGTAGCATGTCATTGACAACTACAATCAGAAGAGTATGGTGGTCTGAGTTAGGTCTAGAAAAGGGAGGATAGTATGATTTGCTGTTGTCTAGCTAGTAGGATCTATGAAAAGTGATTATGTGTTTAGCAGACTTAAGTATTTTGGCCACTCAAGAATATTAAATAATTTGTGTGAAGGTTATTTAGTAAACATAGTACTCATTTTACTTCTAGGGAGAGCATGGAAAATTTTGCCATAACCCAGTCTAAATAGTCCACTAAATTATCTAGTTTTTGTTTAGATTCATATACAATGAATGGTTTTCTAATGTCTTGCTTTCCAGGTACCTTGATAACAGGAAAGCTGTATCCCAGATAGCATGCTTAGTATTAATCACCATAAGTTAATAAATTGGCACTTTCAACAAGATGTCTGCCAGAATTTTTGCCTGAATCAGTTTCTCTGATCTTGATGATTTTTAGATGAACTGAAAACATTTTCAATTTCAAGCTTGAAAATATGAGCCAGAGCAACTCAATCAAGAACAGAACACTCAAGTGAACATGCCAGCTGGCCTCTTCCTTCTTACAACCTAACTGGTCACCACATTTCAGTAATGTTTGTTTAAAGCCTAATGGTCCAAAAGATATGATGAGAATTAAAAACATGTGTTTTACTTGTTTACCAACAATTTCATATCTCAGAATGTTGCTAAACCAATAAAGTTAACTATTATGTGGGCTTTCATTTTTATCAATAAGGAGGAACTCATTTATCGTTTGACAGTGGTAAGACCTTGGGGTATAGTGACCATGTTGATGATATCAAGATAAAAGACTACCAAGGCTTAGTAGTAAAATACACGCTATTTCTGGAAACTCTAAACAGGCATTGTAATATCATGATAACCTAAGTTTATTTTGACATAGATAAAAAATATAATTTGGAATGGGTTCTTGCTGCACATCTTACAAAATGAAAATCTGACTGGCCAATCATAAACATTCTACATAAGCAATGAAGGACTTTTGAGTAGATGGAGCAGCCAGTGACAGAGCAGTGCTTCTGCTTAGCACACCTGGAATAGCTGGACAAAATGCAGAAAGCATCTAATTGAAGGTAGTGGAGAGCCGCTGTGCCAACAAGAACAAGAGAGGCCAAGACTCCAGAAAGAGAAGAACCTGAGAGTGGTGAGCTCACCTATCCCCACTTCTACCTCCGGGCAGTTTCCCAATTCTGTGTGAACAGGAGGCTGATAATCGAGGCTTTCCTGGAACAGGAGAAACCAGTAGAGATTTTGGCAGACACTTTGAGGGCTTCAAGTGCACCAATAATCTACTAAGGACACTGACAAGATACTGGGGCTACACAGGGCAGTGGATTCAATAAACCTAAGCAAAAGGCCTTGGAAAACCAAAGTAGAATTTTTCAGAAATCTCCTCAAACAAAGATTGGAGTTTGGGACCTGCTGGGAAGTAGAAACCTCAGAGAAAGCACCCAGCTCTTGGTTGGGAACTCTAACATCTGTTCCTAAGGGGAACAGAGTAGACTAAGCTTTTGGTGGGATTACACTGCAGACTGAACCCTGCCAGCATCTGAATGGCTTAAGTGATCACCCACCAGGAACTGCCTAGAGAAAAAAGGGTGACTCTTTCCAGAAGAAGAAAACACCATCTGAAGACCCTTTAATTTTTCATAACTAATGCCTGGCATTTGCTAAATATTCTTTTGACAGGACTTACATAACTGGAAACTGAGAGAAAAAGTAGACAACAGAAACAGTTCCAAATACAAATGTTGGAGTTAGCTGATGAGCACTTCAAACACCTAGGGTTAATATGGCTCCATAAAGTACAAGAAAAATGGACAAAGAGAAGAATTTCATCAGTAATTTAACTCTAATAAATAAAAGAACCAACTGTAAATCCCAGAACTGAAAAAAAAATTTCTGAAATGAAGTTAGTAATAAAAAGGATAGATTAAAAAAATGCAGTTTGAAAATATTTGAATTCCCTTATGAGTATAAAGTACAAATATATAAAATTAAGAGATAGAAGAAGATATATGAATCAAATAAAAACATAAAAGATAGATGATAGATAGATACATAGATAATACTTGTTCTAAATATTCCAAATGAAAAATAACTTGATTATTTTTCATAATAACACACCCACAAAAATAGGAACATGGGCAAATTGCTTAGCAAGTTTTCTCTGATGCCTAAGGATAGTGTCAGATAAATTAGAACTATTTAATGCATATTTTATTTCCACATAGGTTTAATAAGAATGGTCTTCAATCAACAAAAGTTGAAATGAAGAAGATAAAGAACAAATTGTAGTTCAAAGTAGATGAGGATAGTTAGAACCTAAGTCTTCCAAATGAATTCAGATACCAGACTGAGATTAATTGCATCCCAGGTACTGAGAAAATTGTAACTGTCAGTTATCTTTGAAAATCTACAGAAAGTAGAAAGACCATAAAATTAGAGAAAGGAAAATGCCCTGATTTTCAAAATGGGGAAAGGATAGACTACGTAATTTACAGATTGGCAAGCTTTACATTGAAAACCAGTGCAATAAGTTCATCATCTACCAAGCACTTTGTGAATATTTTGGAAAGAATGCCTTGATCACTAAGAGTCCATCTGATTTATGTCAAATTATGTTTATGTCATTGATAGGATAGTTGCTAGGTAGAATTTCTTCTGAGCAGTTTATTTGAGAAAGTCTCCCATGATAGACTTAATAAAAAGATTATGAAGTAGTGGTTGAATTAAAGTACTATTGGGAGCATTCATGATTGTTTAAAAGACTGGTTAATCAGTAGATTGCTTCATAAATTGAGGTTTCAATCTTCACTTTAGGCATTTTTAGTAAAGAGCTAATTGCAGCCAAAGAAGGCTTACTTTGTCAAATCTACAGAATTAAACCTAGGAGAGATGGCTAATACAGTAGATAGGTTCAAATTAGTTTAGCAAGATGGAATCATGGGTAAAGACTAATAAAATAAAATTAAATGATAATAAATATGCCCACATTTGTATGAAAAAGATAAATAGCTGACACAGATAAAATATGGGCGACACCTGGCTTGGCAGAAGCTGCAATAAAAACATTACAAGAGTTTACTCTATCATAAACTTAAGATAAACCAGCAAAGTGACATTATTGCTAAAAGTGTTAGCATAATCTTAGGTCTTATTAGTAAAGAATAAAGTCCAGTTTATTGTGCTGCAATTGTACTTCACTTTTGGGTTACATTTTATGAGTGATTTTGACAAACCATAGACAATCCTGGGATGGGGAGATCAGGAAAGACAGAGACATGAAGCTACTTCATAAATGACAGAAAGAATTCATGTATGTTAGGCTGCAGAAAAAACTCAGATTAGATGCAGCAACTATTTTTAATGTTGGAAGAGCTTTCATGTGTAAGAGAAATTAAATATGAATTCTTTTTTGTCCCTGTGTAGCTATAGAAGGTTAGGGCCAAATATGAAGACAAATTTATTTAACATTAAAAAAAAGTTTCTTAGCACTTGGCATTTTCCAAAAGTGAAATGAACAGTTTCATTAGGAAGATACTCAGGGCAGAAATTTATTGGGAACTTCATATGGGTCAGAGGTGGATATAAGGATCCTAGAATATTTTACAGGTATAACTCAGGATGACTAAAGGATCCTAGAATATTGTACAGATGTAACTTAGGATGACTGAAGGTTAGGGCATATTTCTGAATGCTATGGACCTTCAATATAAAAAAAAATCTGCTATAATAAGAAATATTTCAAAAGAAGAGTCATCCTAGAAGTTGTCATTGGCCAGTGGAAATTTTCTAAGGACCTTGTTGTATGCTCTTAACATAACCCAGAACTTTGGGGTAGACTTCTAAGAACTCTATGTGATAATAACAATGTTGTATTTGGATTATAGTCACTCTTTCTTCTTAATGGTTAAAATAGTATTCATGTTATATATGAACAAGGGCTCTAGGACCAAGAAAGCATATAAATGTTAGGCATCAGGATTGGTCAAGTTCGAATGAAGCTAAAAGAACTTACAAGGCCAGCACTGCTGATTAATAAACAGTTAAGCTTTTGAATTTATGATTTTGACTTTGATGAATAATCCTTGTAGAAGGTATGATTCATTTAATGTTATCCTCACCATATTTATTAAATGAAGGAACTCAAGCCCTAGGTCTTGAGTTAAAAAACTCTTCTTTAAAAATAGCTGCCATCGCTGCTCAGCTGAGTCAGAACAATACTTGGCTTTAGTATCATCCTCTATCTTCTGAGGGATTTGAGTTTGATAAAACTCCTTTAGGCTCTGAAACTGAACTTCCACCTAAAATAGGAAAATATAAATGAGAGTTAGGAGCACTTAAAATCATTTTTTTTTAAGAAAAAGAACACTTAGATTCCCATAAAATCCTAAATAGAACTTAAAACCACATTTTCAGAATTCTTTAAATAATTATTGAATATTGCCAACTTACTGAAAAGACATAAGAATCTACTTAGATTATTGATAGACAGGACTACCACTGGGTAGTAGATTGAGTTGACAAGTTTATTACACATAAGACCTACTTATTGTAGCCAAAATCATATTTATAAATTATATATTTGTGCATATGTTTTGTAATTTGGGACAATCTATATCAAAGACCAGTGTGGTTTCATTTAAAGTTAAGTTTTATAATTCAGAAGAAAGATACATGTATAGAATCAGGGACTATAAATCAATGAGAAATGTAAATTAGTGAAAGATTATTAGTAATTAGTAAATCACAATTTGCTTCTAATCAGTGACAAACCAGAATAAAAGGATACAAATAATTACTAATTTTCTGCATATAGATTAATATTAAATTAACTCCATAAGCTAATATTATTAAGATACATTACTTTGCCTCCCTGGAATTGTATTTTCTCATTGGCTAACCAATGTAAGCAGTACTAGATTATTTTAAATGACTCTCCTTGAGCAGAGTTTATATAAAATAAAACAGGTTTGTAGCGATATAGATTAACATGTAATTGGGTGATGTAGAAGTATAGAAATTATTTGGCACAAGTTTTTATGCATTTTCAATAATAATAATTGCTGATAGGACAAGACTTAAAGAGTTCGTAACTACCAAAAGCAATCTAAACACGGTAAGATAATTCAGGCAATGGTTAGTTACCTTTTAAAGATTTAAACATTATTCTTAATTTAAGTGAACTTAATAGGAGAACCCACAAATAGCTGTCAGAAATAGGAGTTCCCTCTTCATCTCCTTATTGCATTTGTTATGCCTCTATGTTTTGCTGATGCTCATTCCCTCAGCCCACAACAATCTTTCCTCAATTTTCTTCTCCTATTTATCCTTCATGTACTAGTTTAAATGCTACTTCCTCTGTGGAGCCTTCTAGGATTCTCTAGTACACATTAATCATCTATTTCTCGGGGTACCCCCCAAAAAGGTCAACTAGAAAGAGAACCATAAGCAGATTATTGCAAAGCCACGTATACACACAATGTTACCGGCACAGCGGAGAGAAACCACCAACTCCATAGAGAATAAATAGGGAAGAGCTTCCCAAAGGAAGTGACATTTGATTTGTGTCATGATGAATTGTCCAGGGTGAGAGGGAGTAGAAAGGGGATCTCAGATGGATGGAATGACATGTGTAAAAGCACAAGTGTGAAGACACTGGCTGGTTCAGAGGACAATACGTGATCTTAGTGTGAACGAAGTTCAGGTTGCACAAGCGGAGTGGTAAGAAAGAGCCAGAGGGATAGTCGTGCTGGGATGCAGCTGGCCAGCAGGTTTCAACTGGTTTTCCACTGTAAAAAATAAGACTGCAACACATTATCATTAGTTTGAAGCAACTGAAAGCAACCACAATGACTCAGAATCAGCATGACGATCATCAGTGCTCCACCAGAGTCACACGCTGCAGGCTGGCTGTCAACATCATGGCCAGTCAGTTATGTGCAATTCTCAAAGCACCAACTATAATTCATCTTCCTTTTCCAGCTGCTCAAAACAGCCTTGCTGAATGCAAATGAGAACAATGTCATTACAGGAATTCCCTTGAATTTGTACTAGTTAATTTTTTAAGTGACTTAATGATAAAATTTAATATATTATCCATTTTTGGTAAAAGTTATTTGCAAACTTGCTTCACTAATTACACTTGTTTCAAATTACTTGAATGTTAAGAGGTGACATGATCAGATTTGCTTTAGGATGACTTTTTTTTCCCCCACAAAAAGGAGGAGAGAGTGAAGGGGATAATTATAAGAGGCAGAAGGATCAAGCAGAAGATGACTTCTTCAAGCTGGGAAAGAGATGATGAGGTCCCCAACTGAGGAAGTGATGGCACAAATGGAGAGGAGGAGGAGCTCTGAAATCTTTTCGGTTAGCTCAACAGACAGACACACATAGCATGGCCTTTGAAATAGAAAACAACAAAGCGGAGGTGATTAGCAATTAAACCTCAGCTTTGATGTTTACCGGCAGCTTGATCTTGCACCCCTCACTTCTCAGAGCCTCAGTTTCCTTCATTTGTAAAATGGGGATAATAGTAACTAAAATACAGAGATGGTTTAAGGATTACATGAAATCAGGAATGAGAAGTATAGTGCCTGGTATAAAATAAATGCTCATTGAGAGAGCAATTGGAAAATACATCAAGGCTTCTACATAGGATTGCTGAAAAGATGGTGGAGTCATTAACCCAGTGCCAAAATACAGAAGGAAAAACATGTTTGAGGAAAAGATACCACCTGTGCTTTGTGGAGCTTGAGGGGCCTATAGGATATATAGGTAATTTGGTTTTTATTTTTATTTTTTTTCCTTTTTTAGAACAACTCAAAAAATGTGAGATATATAGGTAACTTAAAGCATTGATTTGGAGCTCAGGAGAGTTATGATGGAGTAATCGCTGTTGAGTTATTGGTGAATTGAAACCAAAGGCAGGAATGTGATTTTTGTAGGGAAAGTGGGTGTATGGAGGAAAAGAGTTCTTTTGCAAGAATTCTGTGACCCACCATACTTCAAGAACAAAGAAGAGAGATGAGTTAGGAATCAGGAGAAGGAACTGATAGGGCAAAGGACATGAACAGAAACTTTTCAAAAGAAGACAGAATAATGGCCAACAAACATACCAAAAAATGCTCAACATCTCTAATCACCAGGGAAATGCAAATCAAAACCACAATGAGATATCACTTAACTCCAGTAAGAATGGCCTTTATCACAAAGTCCCCAAACAATAAATGCTGGCGTGGATGCGGAGAGAGAGGAACACTCCTACGCTGCTGGTGGGACTGCAAACTAGTTCAACCTCTGTGGAAAGCAATTTCGAGATACCTTAAAGCAATACAAGTAGATCTACCAATTGCAATTCCACTGCTGGGCATCTACCCAAAAGATCAAAAGTCACTTTATGAAAAAGACACCTGCACTCGAATGTTTATAGCAGCACAGTTCACAATTGCAAAGCTGTGGAAACAACCCAAGTGCCCATCAATTCATGAGTGGATTAATAAAATGTGGTATATGTATACCATAGAGTACTACTCAGCTTTAAGAAACAGTGATGATATAGCACCTCTCGTATATTCCTGGATAGAGCTGGAACCCATTCTACTAAGTGAAGTATCTCAAGAATGGAAAAACAAGCACCACATGTACTCACCAGGAAATTGGTATTAACAGATCAACACCTAAGTGAACATATAGGAATAACATTTATTGGGTGTCGAGCAGGTGGGAGGGAGGAGGAGGGGATGGGTATATACAAATACAATGAGTAAGAGGTGCAACGTTTGGGGGATGGATATGCTTGACACTCTGACTCGAGGGGGCAGGGGGAATGGGCAATATATGTAACCTTAACACTTGTACCCCCAGAATACGCTAAAATAAAAAAAAGTAGACAAGGTGATTCCCTTTATGTAAAATATCCAAAAAAGGCAAATCCATAGAGACAGAAAGAAGATCAGCGCTTGCCTGAAGCTGGGGGCATGAGCTAGGATCCAGTGAAAGTGTGTCCCAAGGCTATTTTGGGGGTGAAAGACACATACTAAAACTGGAGTGCTGAGATAGTTGCACAAGTCTACTGTGTTTCTCCGAAAATAAGATCTACCCATAAAATAGGCCCTAGCAGGATTTCTAAGCATTTGCGCAATATAAGCCCTACCCCAAAAATAAGACCTAGTGATGGGCGTGGCTACGCAGTGTATGTGAACAACCCATGCATTTCATTGCAGAGCGGTAGAGAAGATGAGCAGCCCTTCTCATCTGCCCCATAATGACAGCTACTATCACAGAGGTGACTAGAAAGGTGCGGGCAGCCCCACCAACAAGATCAGCTCCCCCTGTCAGGTCCCGGCCATCCTGTCCATGCTGCAAGCTGAGGCTTTGAGGGGAAAATAACACATCCCCTGAAAATAAGCCCTAGGGTGTCTTCTTGAGAAAAAATAAATATAATACATTGTCTTATTTTCAGGGAAACATGGTATAAATATACCAAAAATCATTGCACTATAGAATAGGCGAATTTTATGCTATTAAATTATGCTTCAATAAAACTCTTTTAAAACATAAAATCCAAAGAAGGTGGGAGAAAGTAATTGGATCAAACAAATGCTTCAGAGAGATTCAGCAAGATGAAGACTGGAAAGACACCATTTCATTTGTCATCCAGTTAGTAGCTTATAGGAAGCTTTTCAATGGAGTAAAGAGGTGGACAATGGGGGGTGGGGTGTTGAGAAGGAAATAAACTGAATTGCAGTGGGGTGAGGACTGGGGAGGATGGGTAAGTAGAGGCAAGAGATGTCTTCTTCCCATCCCAAGAGTCTACCTTTGGAGGGAAGGAAACGATGGAGGGGTAGCCATGGTGAAGGCCAGATTGTTTGGACATAGCTGTAGAACAAGGGGAAAGAAGCAATGGAAAAAACCAAATTTATAAATTAGAGGATGATTGCTGGAGCTGGATCTTGAAGGATATAGACGAATCCAGGGAGGAGCTGCTTCTGGGCTCGTGCTGGATAGAAGCAGGCACTCCTCTTAGGGGAGCTCATGGAACCTAGGTGAAGCCCAAGGAGTCAATAGCCTCACTTTTCTTCAGTGGCATATGAGGTGAGGACATCCAGTGGGACTTAGGGATAGAAACTGGGGGTGGGGGGAGGATGCTTGAGAATTGTTATTGAATGGGAGCCAACTAAGGAGCATCCGGGGGACCCAGCTGAGGCAGAGACCCACAAAGTTGTAACAGCGCCAGTAGTGCAGTTGTATGATTTTCTGTGGGAGCGTCTGGAAGCTTGGAAAGAATAGCTGAGTAAACAGAGTGTTGGGCTGATCTAGTACTGGGAGCTGGCAGGGCTGGTGGGGGGAGGGCGGGGAGTTGAGGGGATGGAGTGGCATGGAAATGAGTAGCCCTGGGCTGGCGGGGGAAGCCCGAGGGGGAAGGGAATAATAGATTGGGAGCGTTGCCAGGATTGGAACGATGGAAGGCTCTGCCAGGCAGCAAAATAGATTTAGTGAAAGCGGGCAGCTAAAATGTTCTTCTGATTAAAGTGTTGTTTGCAAAGCTAAGGCTCCAGCTCTCAAGTGGCTCACGGTCCCAAAGGCCATGGAAGTGGATGCCTAACTCAAAGCCAGGAAGGTACATATTTGGCAAGGAAGATGCAGAAAGCAAGCACTTCTTTGTAGCTTCTCTGTCATTTCAAGTCCTGCATACAAATGTTCACTAACAGGATAATCCCATCAGTTGTAATATCTCTGCTGAACCGTGAGAGTTTAGGGCCAAGAACTAAAAAGAGTCAGACATGACAAATAGTCAGGTAAAGATGTGGAAAAGGACACAGTGGTTACCTGAGATTTCCAGGATTGGGTGTGGGCTTCTCTAGAGTGGTAAGCATTGGGGATATTACAAAGGAGATCGGAGAGAGGAGAAGTGGGTAGGCAGGATGGCGGTGGTAGGAGGTAAGGGTGAGGATGTGGGGAGGGTGGAGGTGAGAAGGTGGAAATCAAGCACATGACTTACCTTGGGTGGGCTTTCCCCCGGGTGGACCTGCTGGCTCTGCCTCCCACTAACCAGCACCCATCTCCCGGAACAGCAGAGTGATCTGCTTCGCATGGGGCGCACTGGGACCATGTTATATGAGGTGGGACCCTAGTACTTTTCTTTTACTGACAGCAGCTTCAAGAAACTGGGACCTTTGAGAGATGGAATCCTAGTGTATTAGAGAGGATAATAGAGATTATCTTATAATAACCGGGCAAAATAAGGCCTCAGAAGGAGCTCTGAGAAGCACCTTGTTAAAAGGCATCCCATAAGACAGATCAGAGACTGAACCTAAGCCCGTAATTTCCAATGAACCACACTGATTCCTTACGTAGTCAAAGAGATCCATGATTTAGGAGATGACTGTTTTGAAACAATTTTGTTCTATGTTTAGGATGTTGTAAATATTTGTAGGACATTAAAGAAAAAGTGCTCTAGTACAACCACTATATTTTCGCACACACCTATCTACACATACACGTGTATATGCTTTTTTAGTGAAACGACTTACTATTTGAGCCTTTGTATGGTGCCTTGAAAAATAAAAAGCCTACAAAGTGAGTCCATGCACTGGGTTAGAGGATCTGGAACTACCCACCAGGGTAGAGATTATCCCCCATGGAGAGCAGGAACGTGGGCAGGGCCCCTGCGGAGAAGGGTTAGCACATAGTACCGTACCTCCTCTGATGACTTTAGAAATGCCACGCAAGTGTGCAGGACTCGTGACCTGGACCTGATGCTTTGGCCAAATATGTTTAATTCTTCCTCTAACCATTTAATTTTAGAAGAAAGTGATGCCACTTCATTAGGTTCGAATTCATTTTTCTCTGTCATGATTTTTGCAGCTGCTTCTAATTCATGTGATGTCTCCTATAAAAGCAAAGCACAAGAGGTCAGAAGCTGACAGGGGAATCATGAACATTCACATTTCATTACACGCTACACATCCATCTATTACGATTATTAATTGAACTTGGACCAAGAATCTCCTCAATAAAAGAAAGGTACAATTTTGAAATTTCTAAAAATAAAAAAAAGGCATTTTAAAATGAAAACCACTTCAAATTATTCTTTGGCTCAATCGGCAACACTTCTAATTTACAGCATTCTATTTTCTGTATCACAAATAGAAGAAAGGTTGTTTGGTACGAAAGACTGTAAGACAAAATGGCAGAAATGTTTTAAATAATTTAAACAAATTAATTATTCATAAGAATCGCTTTATGAAATTTAACAAGAGTTCTAGCAAATTCTTAAACAAAGTTTATTATATATGATGGCAAATTTACAAAAATTGTTCATTGGTTTTTAATTTACAAAAAGATAACATATCAGTTATTTAATCTCTATCTAGAAGGGTTTTTAAACAGGTGTGGGGGAAATGTCACACATCAGGCCTAAACAACCTCAAAGGTGAGCGAATTTGACTTCCTTAGGGGTGCTTACCTACATTTTCTTCTGAGTGCAATTTCTGAACTCTAACCACTGATTAAATGGATGAGTAGGTAATGTAGGCATGACATATATAATTGTCATAGAAAGAGCCATGTAAAATTTCATGTGAGGCCAAGATAGAAATCAAGCAAAATGAAACAAAAAAGCTTCACTCTCATTTGCAGCAAGAAGGGATTGTTTCCCTGCTAGTGTTTAGTATGCTTCCCAAGTACTGTGTTGAATGACGGTAATTTTAATTTACAAGCTCTGCTTCCTGATAACACTCTGGTAAAAAGAGAAGTGGGGGATTTCTTCTTATCCAATATCCTTGCCATTTCTAAAATTTTTAAAATAAAATATAAAATTGAGTTTAAGTTTCAAGCATTTTCAATAATGAACAAAAAGCACCCCATTAAAAAAAAACTGGTACATCTATGAGTTTCTGGTGGGGGCGCAGTCTGGGAAGGAGGCTCTTCTGCTGAGAACTGGTAACGAGGGCTTTTCTTGGCTACCTGGGAGAGCCAGGAGAGGGCACTTGACTCACCTTCCAAGCCCTGTCAGGGCAGGCAGGGACTTAGGTGCAGGTTTGGAGCAGCTAGCAGGAATCTTTGAACCTAAGTCCCAAGTGAAAGGGCCGGGAGGAGGCTAGAGAAGGTGCTGGAGGGTGGGGGTGGGGCACTTTCTGTCTCTGAATTTTGAGTATACAAAAACAGAATGTGTTTTTATTTGCTTTCCTGGAATCTTGCAATCATATATGTTGCTTTTACTAATTTTTTAAAATAACTTGCTCTAGGAGAAAATCACAAATAGTCTTAGAGAAACACAATCCCTTCCTCTGGCACCCCAAAAAGGAGTTGCTGCTAACAGTGCCCAGGCAAGGAAAAGGAATATAAAATTTATATTTGCAAAATCATAGCCATAATAATAATTATTTACCTTAACTTGGATATCTAGGTCCAGATAATCATTCAAAGTCTTCTCTGAATCAGAAAGGCTGGAACCAACATCCATTGCATTAGAAAGTACTGGACTGATTTTCTGAATTGACATTTCCACCTTTAGGAATAAAGAACATATTGCAGTCTTAGTAATATATTTTTACATGTATGTATGCATATGTATAAGGAATAAATGTTACTCTCTATATTTTCAATGTATTTTAAATATATAATGTCAATTTTAATCTAAGACAGTTTTAAATATTTCAGAATTTCATATTTTAATAATGCTGCTCTTCACAGGATGCCATACTAGAGACCTACTGACAGAGGGGATATGCTTAAAGGTATTTCTCTTACTAACAGCAATGAGATATAAGCAGTCATCCACATTCTTTACAAACTTATTATCTATATTACCTACAAAGGATAGTGAACTTGCTAACACATCAGCAGAGAAGAATTGATCTATACATTGAATGAGACCCAATTTACAGGCACATTTCGAAGCAGAAGTCCAGAGCATGGATATTAGACCACTCTGCTGGTTGCTATATTTAGGGCTGAGGGACTCTAGGGAAGCAGCCAACCCTGTATACATAATAGTAAAATACAGGGACATACTTCTTAGGTCATTTAGTTAATGAATTTGGGGGACTATAATTTGATCTTCAGCACATATGAATCAATGAATGACAGTACCCTTGAAGGATCCTATTCCATTCAAGTTATTAATACATCCCTTGTCCCCTTGCTCTACCTAGAGTCCATACTTCCCAGACTCAAATTGGCTCTGAATTGGCGATAAGACAAATAGCAACAGCTGTTTGAGTTCCTATTGTGTTTTCCTCCACCACTAAATTAGCTTGACTCTCCAGTTCTAGGGAATGTGGCACCACAGCTGCCTGCCATATTTGGAAGCTCCCTGGACCCAGGCATCAGAACAAGGCTCAAATTCCCAAGTTTCTGGATCAATAACAGCTGGGTAAGCCATTTAAATAGACATTGATGTTTAATGTCCTCTCCAGTGTAGTCTACTAATTCTGCTCCTGTAAGTTCAGGCACGTAGGTCCATTGTATCAAATGAAAACATAATTGAAAAATCGAGACCCGGCTTCTGCAGCCAGGCTCATCAGCATTAATGTCATGAGGTATTACTAATTTTGGTTATATATCCCATCTATAGATAAGTAATTTTTTATTTAGTTGAATTATGTAGCTCCCTGGTTTTATTCTCCTTTGAAAATAGGAAATAAAATTCTCTGATACCAGGTCATTGTATTCACTCTACACAGAGGATTTTTACAAGTATGTTTTTATGCAGAGTGACCATGTCCTCTTGCACTGGTCTAGTTCAGTAAAGTATCATAATGGCCATTTATTCCTGGAAAAAACCCAAACTCATAATTTTTGGTATCTATCTAACTGTAGTCTTCCTGTTGAATGGTACCATGTCAATCAAAACAAGCGTGTATCAAAACCATGCCCAGAATATGTAAATCTAGTACCTTATTCCACTATGTACACGATTCAGTTGACACAGTATTGTGCAAAGCAAGAACTGCCTTTGTGTATATGTGTTCAGGCCTGAGGTGGCAGATAGGATTTGACATCTAGTTTTGGCAAACTGGGGCAGAGATGGTTGATGAGGAACAGTGAATTACAACTCTGTTTTGCTCAATGATGGCACCTAATGTGGAACATAAGAGAAGCCTAACGAGACATACCCCCCTCCTCCCACCATGCCCACATGCTGCAGTTGCCATACCACCTATTATCACCAAATTAGAAGTTTAGGTTTTATTTTGGGAAACTACCTTCCTTAGGTAGCCCTCCACTGAGGCTGTTAATTGTTGTTTTTTAAGAGCAAACTCCTTGTGCGCTGTACACTGCTGGGTCAGGTCATCCACTCGTCTCTTTATGCACCCCATCATCTCATGGACTCCGGTCACCCGAGAGCTGAAGGGAACAAGTCACTTGTTAGTTCACTCAACCCCAATGTAGAAGCCCCAGGAACAGGGAACATTTGAAAACAGATCTGCTTTCATGTTGAATAGGAGTTGGTAAAAGTTATCGGCTGCAGGGTAATAGAAGTTAAGTGGCTATAGTCCCCGTAAAGCAAAGAGCAAAACCAAATCATGTTTCTTTGTTTTGTCAGTCAGTCCTGAGGGAGAAGATGAGTTATGGGCTTTTGCAACAAGGTCTAATCTTCTTTTCTAAAGGTTTGCTTTTTAATATTTCTCTAAGATATCTTGAGAACCTTACGGCAAAAGGCACAGCATGTTTGCCAAGCGTTTTCCTGAGGGTGTTATTTAAAAGCTTCATTTATCTAAAGATGCTCTTTGAATAGAAATGTGGATCAGCCAATTAACAAAGCATTTACTAATCCAATAGGGTAAAATATTTATGTAACACTAAGGTCCTTGTTCTCCGTGATTATGAATGCTCAAGGCTGTATTCATTAGTTGAAAACCAAGTTATCGCCAACAGTTAGGAATCAAATATACTTGTTCATAAAAAGGAAACCAAGTCTCACATGATCACTTTTACCTGTGCTGGCCTCATGAAAAAATAATAAGTGATATGAGGGGTCATAAAATGAAAATGCCTTTAAAACAATGAATGAACTTTGAGTTGAACCTCTGTTGCTCTAGTTTAAAGATATCTTAACAAATTCCCTAACCAGTCCAAGTTAGCATGCTAGAATTACAGAACATTGAGAGAACATTGTTGATGGAATGAGCACTTTTTAATTTTCAACCTATCCCTAAGACAGACTATCCTACTATTTAAGAAGTGGATGCCTTTTATTTCCTCTCAGTCATTCCTTCGCATACTGTACTAATAAAGATTAACATGATAACTCTTAAATTTAATTACCCAAAGTTAAAAAAGATCTTGGAATGAAGTACAGATTGAAGTACAGATTTTAGTAATTTTACCTCAAATAATTAATTTATGACTCTGTAAAAATGCATTTAATTAGTAACGAAACAAGGGCAAATTCCCAAATGGCTGGGAGGTAATGTCACCTCTCTGGAATGACAATGAGGCTGCTAAAGAGGTGAGAAACAGTCAGCTGTGTCCTGTGGGTACCACAGAAGTCCCAGATAAATTTAACTGGGGGGAAATATGAAACCACTATGAGAAATCTTATTCCTGGCACGTAATGTTCCACTGATGTTACATTTAAAACAATTAATATTGCATTTTAATACTCAGAGATAGTGAAGAGTAAAATCAAGACATCAGGAGATTTTTATCATGTATTATTGAGAAATAATTCTTAATAATACTTAAATCCACAAATTTTATAAAAGCACGGTATTGGTAATACTGATCATAGTATATTTTGACTAGGTTTTAGACTTTGAGATATAATATGCTAAAAAGGCATGTATCCAAGTTTTTGGCAGAATATGCAAATCTGGAATGAGAAAGGTAAATTGAATATGTGACCCTATGGAAAGAAGGTACAGAGAACAAAACTTATGACAGGAAATGGGCAAACATATGGAAAAGAAGTATGGCAGAAAATGGCATTGATCAAAGAAGAGGAATTTGGAAACGATTAATAAAATTTAGAAAATAGAATTTGGCAAAGAACTGTATAGACCGAGATAGAAGATGCTTACTCCCACCTGAGTTGCCATGCGTGGTCCCACCCAGAATGCCTTCTGCATCTATTGCAGTCAGAGCCTATTTTATTAACCAGACTAGGGGGCCTCCTAGTCTGGTGGACTAGGGACCTCCCTGATCCCAAGGAGGTGTAGCTGGGAGGGGAGTACAAATTTTGAGCAAGCTGCTCCCTGGGAGAAACTCGTCCTCAGTAACCAGGTCCAGCCAAACCTCTTGATTCCTATTCACACACACTATATATAAAATATAATGTATATGATATATAATACTATATAATATATATTATATAACATATATTTAATATATGTTAATTAATTTTTATATATTTTAATATTTACATAAAAATATAATTTTATATATTATAAAATTAATATTTATATTATATAACATATATTTAATTATATTTAATATGTTATATTAAACATATTTAATATATGTTATATAATATATATATATTATTTTTTGATCTTTTCCCAAAACTATGGCTGTCAGCCAACTTCTTGGGCTTATCCATAAGTCCCAGCCAGGATGTCTCAGGTACCAGGGCTCAGACCTACTCTCTGACTCTGACCTGAACTTGCTCTAGCATCCCCATGCCTCTCAAATTTCCCACTTGAATCCCTATTTTGTTTTAATTATGATGCTCTAATTCAACACTCACACTGAATGCAGCCTCCTGTTTGGCCATTCAAATCTGAAATTTGATTTCCTTTAAAATGACATCATTCAATCGTATAGTGCCAGGGAAAATATGAATTATGGATTCACACATCTTATAGTTTTGCCTACAACCTTAATAATAGCTGTTACTTAATAAATTCTTGCAACAGACATGTCATTTTGTTCAGTGCATTGCATGTATTAATTTATAGAATCCTTAAAATAACTTTGTGAAGAATCAAAATGTTATCAATAACTCCAATTTTTAGCCAATGAAACTGAGGCTCCAATGGTGAAATAACTTGCCCTAGAGACACACAACTAGTAAATAGCAAAGACCCGATTTAAAGCCATGTCTCTTTGATACACAAATATATATACTTCCTATATTTAATAATTTTTATTGAATTAATGATTAGTTTTAAATCTTACTTTCAGGAAATTTAAGGAAATACAGACAACACTGGTTTAGTTTTTACCACAAAATACTGTAAAAACAACTAATTAAAACAATCATTGAGATCTTACTGTGATAAGACACCACTCTTAATGTTTTAAGCAGTTGCCCTTCTAATTCTCACAACAAGCGTATGAGCTGGGCACCATTGTTGTACTCAGTCTGCTCATCTGCAAAGTGGCAGAGCCAGGATTTGAACCTGTTCATCTGGTCCCAGAGTCTACATTCTTTACCACCTCATAGAACCTTTTCTGGGTGTGTGACACATGACATAGGGTGGGGGGTATTCTTTTCCTCCTAAATTTCACTTTCCCTTGAGTTGATATGTTGTTGACTTTCACTGAAACAGGGTTGGCCTGGCTGACTGCTGTTTCGAAATTGGCAGGCTTCTCTAGGTAATGCAATGTCTGCTGCAGTTTACAAAGTGGCCACTAGAGGGTCATGGCATAATAACTTGTTCAAATTATTAATACATGTCTTGAGGGTCCCTCCAGCACAAAGAATGGAAAACCAAATGAAGCACTGCTTCTGTAAAAGTATTACTTTTTAGCAACCTCCAATTTTAGTTGAGATGAACTGCAACAAACCAAATAGGATCCGTTTTTGTTTTTCAATGACCTAGGTGATTTTGTCTCATTTTGTGGTGATTTGTGCCTTGTCAAGTATATCTACTGTATTGTAAGTTCTTTAAGGGAAATGGCTGGTGTCCTATTCATTCTCATATCCCTTGCAGCCCTGAACACATAGCATCATAAGTAGTAGGAGATCAATGCACATTTTCAAATTAGATAAAGTACTCTCTAATCAATATTAAAGGGAAGAGAACACATAGATTTAAAGACTAAGAAGAACATATACACAGTCACCATATTTAAAATGTCATAGTGATAGTGTCCAATAGTTTTTAAACAATGAAGACTTTGTACTTTTGGTCACTTATAGAAGTTTTAGGCTATCCAAAGACTTCCCATTTTCTTCTTTGGTATGCTTTAGCATTTATAGTTAGGTTAAACGAGGTTTATCCTGGATTGCTTGGTTCAGCGGATACTTCTCTCCTCTAATTACAGCCTTAGAGGGATGGGCTGAGTTTCTTTGCTGCGCCGTGCATCATTGCCTGTCCAGTGTGTGGCTACTCCTACTTGTGGCTTAGACCCCTTCTGGGTAAGAGAAGTTGCTGATCATCTTGGTTATCCTAGCTAGTTCCTATTTCCCTTTTTCTATATCCTGGGAGAGGTCATCTCTGTCTGACTGGGCAGTAAGCACATCCCTTTCCTGACTCCCAGCTGGAACGTATCTGCCACACTCCTAGTCCCAGGGCTGCTCCCGTCCTTTACTATTCCTTCTCAGTGAAATCCTAATCTGCAGGCTACAACTAGCCCTGATGCCATCATTTTCAATGAGAAACTTTATACAACGATTCAAGACTTTTCTTTTGAACATTCTAAAATATTTAAAAACATGTATAGCATGCATATTGCCAATTTCCTCCGTGCCCCAACAGCAAGTGGTATGACCAAAGGAAAGTTCTGACCCCACTCTTTGCCAGCAGTTCTTACACGGACTGAAAATAAATTAATAGCATTTCATCCATCACCCAGGAATGAGTCCTGTTACTCCACAGTCATATGAAATTAACGATGAGACAAGAACTGCCAGTGGGTTAACAGAAATTTGCTTGAACCAAAAGGTAGTGTCCTGTTATTTTGTTCTGATTTTGAAGCAACTCTGCTCATGCACATCCTGGTTGGGTCAGAGAGGGCTAAGGATGGGATAGACTTCTAGCTCTGACAATCTGTGGCTCTGTGACAATTTGTATGGGAAATACTGATTGACCTTTGGGCTTTCTCGGTAAGAATGGATTAGATGGTGCCTGTGTGTGGTGTGAGCATGTGGTACATCAGATTATTCCTGATGTTGGCTTGACTTTTCCAAGCATCACAGATACTGAAAAAATGACAGACTCTGAAGGGTTCTTCAGGCATTTGTTAGAAACTCCATAATGGGAGCATTTTCTCCCTTATTCACTGAGCCAATAGAGGGGAGGGAAGGGGGAAGAAAAATGATTGCTTTTTTTTTTTACCCCCTCAAGTAACAGAGACAGATTGACTTCTGGTTCAATAATAGAATGTTCTATTTACTGTATGGAAGCAGTTGCTCTGTCTTTGCATTTGCTGCAAATCAGGCTGGGGGAGGGGAGCAAATC